TTCCATTTTGTAAGCCATTTTACTCGTCGCGTCGGTAAAATATGAACCAACAAACACACAATCATGATTATAATATTAGTTGGGATAAAAGTATGCGTGTACATTGTAGATGTATCCACGTAGTCGCATACAGATTAATGTCTCTACCTCTATAATAAAGTACAATCGATGAAATACTTCCATTACCAATTCTTTGTTAGCATTAACAGATGATTTTTTTATTAAATCTTTTGTCTATAAATATACATTCATTTATTTATTTGTTATGAAAAATATTTCTACACTTTTATTACAGGATTTTCTCAATTCCACAGTGAGGCTTAACGTTGTGGAAAAAATGTACTTAAAGTACTAAAAAGAAATATATGATATGCCGAGGAGTAACGAGTCATTGCTTGAGAATTTACTAGCTTTTCCACATAAATACAATAATTGAGATATTCGCATAGGCGAAACGAAAGTACATTATTACACAAAACATACACAACTCCAGATGAAGATACATTTATTCTGATTTTACTCTAGAAGTTCCGTAACAGTAATTAACTGACAGTAAAAATGCTAAACAAGACACTTGGTCACAATTTGCAGTACTCACACATATAAAAAAACCTTCATTCATAATACTAACACTAAGGTGCATACTAATTAATTTGTCGATTGTACTTTCATGCATGCAAAACTACCCATGTAGAAAATCAATTAAACAAATAGGTGTATTTGTATGCGAAACTCGACTTTACTCTATTTGGAATAGAGGTCAACATAACAGGTTAGTGCATGACAGAAATGATGAATGCGTTGCCGAAATTATGAGCATACCTACATTACCTCACGCTTGTCCCCAGTAAGGGTAGGCAGAAACTATGGAATCAATTGCTCCGATTCTTGCATACATCTTTCGCTAGATCAACAGTCATCACTTTTATGCATGCTCCTCGGTTAAAGATACTTCTTTAATCATTTCATCAGCTAAAATCTAATATAAATAAAGCGTGGAAAAAAATGTCTTACTATTAGTAAAGTTGGTTGCCAGTCTTCTGGGAACGTTCCCCTGTGATAGTGATGCGGACGAATACTTTGACGCCTAAATTAATGGTATAATTTTTGTTGTATTCTTTTTTACTTTTTGTTTTATTGAATAGTTTAGTTGTAGTCAATTTTAAGTTGTAAATATTTATGTAGTTATTTGTCTATGTTCATTTTTTAGATGTTAGTTAGTTAGTTAATGCAAACAGAGCATAGTCCCCTTGAAAATAGGAGCTGAAACCTTTGCTCTAAATTCTGAGCTAACAACTAAATATTTCAAAATTGAAATCACCAGTAACATCTTCCGCAGGCATTTATAGTATCCTCTACACATAAATTCTACTTTTAAAACACACACAAATAAAAATAAACATTTTCCTGGAAACTAATATGAAAATAACACATATCAACATCATACTGCAGTAATAAACTAGATATATTTAGTTTCGTGATTAATTAGAAACTATAATTGGCGGTCATCGCGTGGTCTGCGATTTCTAATGAAATTATTAATTAGTCTGCTTCTGACAGTCCATCTACCTTTCGAGCTATATAAATCATAATGTACCTGCAGGGTTATGATGTGAAGTGAATGGATTAGTCCTTGCATGGTTCAGTTCTTTAGGTGGATCCGAAATTGCCAAATCTGTGTAAACGTCTAGATAAAATCCCAGTACAAGGCAACGATTAAAGAGAAATATGAAGTGAAATAAAATGAAAAGTGTTTTATTCGGCATACGGCATGAACGCCATGAACAAAAAAAAAGAATATATAATTTGACAAAATAAAACATAAAGGTTTAAAACAAGAGAGAGAGAAAAAAAAGATAAATTATAAAACTACAACAAGATAATAAAAATAGATATAACATACAGCGCGGTGTTGGCAGACATGCCCAAACTGAATGGGTCGCCAACTCAGCAAAAAGCTGGGCACAATGAGCTCCCAACACTGATTTTCAGTTGTCAAATAAATAAACACACGTTTAAACATTCGATACTTAATGATTTCAAGTATCAAAGATCTTTTGTACAGATCCTTCAAATATTCATATAAAATCATAAAACATATCAGAAAACATTTACAGATTCTTCTGCTACACTCGTCAATTAGTTCTCAGTAAACGATACCAAGAATAACTTTAAACGAACTTCAATCAATTCAATGTCAAAGTTCTTTGAAAACTATCAAATTGAAGTTTTGAAATAGCATTTTATTGACAGAGAGCCTCCTTCAAGTTATTGCTTGGACAAGCCGACAAGCTGGCAAGTAGCTGCACAAAGACCTTTGAGTAAGGTCGCAAAATTTCCTTTATAAAAGTGCCAGTGTTGGGAAAAGTGTCGAGACGCTTTATCGATAAAGTGGCGACTTGACTTTTGAATCCGATGTTCTACAATAGACAGGTCGGTCGCTCAGCAAATAAATGGGTTTGAAATTGCTGAGAAATACTTACACTACAATGAAATATTGTCGATGTTCATTTTATGGTTTATGAATCCAAGATGCGGTGTAAATGATTCATTCAATTTACGTGTAAAAATGGATAGTGCTTTATTTCTTCATAAACATAATTTTGTAAAGTTTCTGCACTTGTTCCGTTCGTAAGACATCTCTGATAGAAAAGATTACAAGCTAACATAATACTTGATTTTGCAGACCAGTTATAAAAAACAAGCAAATGTTATTATCTACTAACAAAGTATCGATATCACTTACAACACTAGCAGTAGCCAGACACGTTATTTTTAGATCAAATAAGCAAGTCTTCTCATATTGCGATAGTAGTTGATAATAAAAGGACAAGATGCACTAAAGTCAACGTTCTTTTTTTTTCTTTTTATATCCAACAAAGTGGTTAATTGTACATTAATGGGTGTACTACCCCTTGATTTTTAAAACATACTTAATACTATGTATACAGAAGCTGTTGGTATACCTATTTAAATAAATAAAAAACATGCATGTTCTTACAAATTATATGTATGTAGTTTCGTCCTGTTTTTATTTAAATAATAGCAAGTTCAATTAAAAAGTGACTAAATGACACTATGACATCATGTCATCATGTATATAGGTTGGAACTTTTTTATCTGTACATTTTTTTATATACATACTAAATACTATTGGCAGTCAGAGGAGAGTCAAAAGGTCACAATAGCCTTAGAAGTACACCTGTAATACCAGATTACCAGTGTGTTACGGATCATGTAAGAAACTGATCTTTTTTTTTAATTTGATGGACCGACGTTTGTCCGCTATCTTGTCTGGTAGTAAGCAATGATGCGGCATACGATCACGTCTGCCTATAAAGTATGCCCAGGTTATACCTTTCAGGAGACACAGACTCTGGCAAAGAGCTTAAAGAAAACTCCTTAGAAGTATGTACAAGGAAACTTGCAGCTAAGCGCTTCGTGCGAGTGGAATTGTACCGTCATTTCCTAACTATAATTCAAGAAACCATAATAGTTACTACAACGGGATCAGCAACCTTAAAACTACGTGACAAAAGCAAAAAAGAATCAGTAAACGTTTAACATAACATGACGATGACATTCGATTAACTACAATACCAAACTTTAAATTGAATCCAAATACAATTTAGTTGTAACGTCAATCATTTCTCACTATGTATCGAGTTATAATATGTAATGATGAATATTGAATATGTACCCTGAACCACCTCATCTAGCATATCCTCATCTATTTATAATGTTTAGGTAAATAGAAGTCATTTAGGGAATAATGAAATAATCTTCAATTTCGAACTTTGTGATTGGTAGATGGGCTTAAAATTGGACAGGTTTATTAATTATTACCTAATGGTAATTGATTTTGATGAGGCAAGGGACTAGTCTAATAGTTCCTGAGATTGGCGCGCTCAAACAAACAAATTACAGAATTTGTTTGTAGGTACAAGCCTATTGTCTCTTTGTTGGTGCTAGAGTGGTTGTTAGTGATAGTGCTGATCATAGGGTCTTGGTTCTCACTCCCGAGTAAAGCACAATCGGAGATTTTTATTATGTATATACCCACGTATTTTACAGTAACAATTTTTTTTTAAACGTGATATACAGATCCTAAAAACACATTGAAAAGTCCAAAATCAAGGAAAAAAGATTAATAAACATGGTCAATTATAGGTCTATAAATGAATATTTAAAATACAATTTAGATCAAATAACTGACTTGAACTAATCTTGTAAACCGATTAATTAAAACTTCACCTTTCGGCTATTTTAATAAGTAATCAGTAATTTTGGTTTGGGTAGTTAATCAAATATTTAAGCTTCATTTAATGAAGAACAAAATTAATTTATTTTTTATTACATACTAGTGACCCGCCCACACTCTATCTATCTATTGAATAAGAATCACTCTATCTATTGAAAAAAATCTCATCAAAATCCGTTGCGTAATTTTAAAGATCTAAGCATATATAGGGACAGACAGACGGCGGATAGCGACTTAGTTTTAAAATTTGTAGTGATTTCTACGCAGACAGGTTGAATGTATGTATCCAGCTATGTAGCTATATAATACCTTTGCACAGTCCTTTAAAGAAAAACTAGATGTTATTATACTTTTTGTCAATCAATCAATCATTGAATTATAATATCTTTTTTGTCAACTATAAAAACAGATACAATAACAACTGCAATTCAATATTAATTTAGTTATACATACAATAGTATGTATTGTATACATGTACATACATTATCTACTCATTGTAAATATGTACATAGAGAAACTACTTAATAAACAATTGTAATAGACAAACTGGTTAGCCCAGATTCTTAGGCCGGATTATAACCTAGACAAGAATGTATGATAATTTCATTTAATGCATTATGCATTAAAACACGCCCAGGTGATTACGACGAAATAAACTGAGCACCTGTACTGAAAATATATTAAGATGATATAGTCAAAATACTTGTTATCATGGTTATCATTAGCTACGCAGGAGATATTATAGTGCACAAGGGTGTGCGCAAACAGGTGCACTCTGTTCTCCCACTTTCTGTACCCGACGGGACGGCAGACCGACACGATCGAGAGAGGTCAGGCGCACTACCAACGGCTTTACGTCCTTTCCAAAGCACGAGGGCGAAACTCCGGGCTAATAATGGTCATTTTACTCAGATAATACCATCATTTTTAGGCCCAAACCCAGTTGATATTAAGTAGTCATCTAGTCATCCACCTCTCAGACCTAAAACTATGCAACTGGAAAATTCCAGTAACCCAATAGCTCACCGTTTACAAACCTAACCGACCAATCAGGCCGCATCTAAACATTTTCTCGGAATAAGTCCGACCACATACCATACGACAAGTCGCCAAATTCGGAGGCTGCGCCGCGATCGTTTGCGTAATACGCACTAATTGTGCGCTTTCACCTGCGAACCTGCGAATCTTGCGCCAGTCGCGTCATTTTTTGTCGAGGTCGGAGGAATATCAACTGACGCAACTATCGCGTGCGAACGGCTAAGAATCACATGTGCGACAGAGTTACGACAATGTGAACCGATCTGTGTGACGTAATCGTAGTGTATTTTTATTGTAACGTGTGATGAATGGGTAATTTTGTATGGTTTAGTGACGTTTATGGGGGTAACGCAATGGTTAATGGTAATTTGACGATTGTTTAGAATGTACACACCTACATAGGACCAAAATTCTTCTATAACAATAATGTTGTACTACTATTATGATTACACGTGATGATAGGTAATCGTAGGTCACAAGAAATTTGGATGGTTATAAAAAACCACATGATTTATGTGTCCATTATTTAAGTACCAAGTCAAAATTGTTGTTTAAAGAGCTTTGTTGTTTCTAAATACTTTCTAAAAAAAAAGTAAATAAGTAAATGTGATTACATACTCCGCACCTTAACATGCTATCATCGCAATATACCTCTATAAGTGTGCGAGAGCCATGCTTCGGCACAAATGGGTCGGCTCGACCGGAGTGATACCACGGCCTCACAGAAAACCGACGTGAAGCAACGCTTGCGTTGTGTTTCGTCGTGTGAGTGAGGTTACCGGAGGCCCAATTACCCTCCCCTTCCCCAATCTCCCCAATTCCTGAATCCCCAACGATCCTCAAACTCCTAATCCCCAAAAGGCCGGTAACGCCTCTGGTGTTCCAGGTGTCCATGGGCGACGCCGATTGCTTACCATCAGGTGATCGGTCTGCTCGTTTACCGCTTTTGCTACAAAAAAAAATCCCAAACTCAAGCACGACTCCCGCACTTAAACCTTTAGATCAACAATCAGGAAACACGAAATCTATACACGGAAACTAAATCTAGACTTAATGTAGGAAATACCTAACTTACTAATATTCCACCTAACATACAGGAAACATTCAGCTAAGGATGACGCATGACATTTCACAGTCTTTCAAATTAAGTAGAAACTCGAGAAATGTACTCTCACAGTGTAATTAATGAGGTAAGCGCATGCGCATAGATACGGTTTGCTAGACACATTCTAGACTAGACTAAACATTACTTTCTATTTTATTATATTACCTGTTACATAGTCTAGTTCATACTTAATGGTGAGATTTAAACAATTAATTTTATAATTGAAATGTTCTGAGAAAATGGAGAAAGCATTTCTGTACTTGTCTCTACTAGACATACACAGGGAACTTTTTGTGTCTCCTATAGGTACAGGGTGTTCCGAACAACGCACAATTTTAATAGTTTTTTACTTGTTATTCATGCAACATCAGCCTTGAGCGATTGTTTACAAGTATTATTACATAAAAGAAACATTTAATTCCTTACTTCTGTCGAAATAAGACATGTTTTTGACCATCACCTGTCGACGTTTTTCGGGAAAGTTCCGTTAACATGTATTTAGAATTATGGTAAACACTTCGACGACTCATTCCCATAGCAGGTACGATTATTAAGAATAAAAAAAATTAAACATGTACCTTTTTTATGTAAATTATTCAGGAAAGCTAATTTCAAAGCGACTAATTTCAAGCGGCACCGGAATTCATAATCATGAGATGCGTTGTGTAGGTGGCAATAGACGTCGCGGTCGTACCGTCTTGGAATAATAAAAAACACATGACTAATAAGTACTTTGATCGAAACAAACCTCACTATGAAGATATGTAGGTACGTTGTTTTACTTATTAGGTATAAACTAGATAAACTTATTTAAGGAAGACTTCTACCCAAATAAATTTATTTCTTTATTTTTATTTTTAGCCACAGTCGTCCCCTTGCAGGACAAATGCCTATCCCTACCCTCATTCCACTCATCTCTTTTGATAGCTTTCCGTGGCCAATCCTTTTCATAGGCCTCCAGTTCATCCCACCATATCCTTCTGGGCCTACCGCGACACAAATAAAGCAATTAAGGAAACTTTTTACTAATAAGCTTTATCCTAAACTCATAAACCCTTATCCATCCCTTTAATACCATCTATACAAAACAAATTGAAGAATATTTCCCTTACGTAAATTCCAATTAAGATCCGGAAAACAGATTTCCAAATATAGACCTTTAATCAAATGAGTTCTTCATGCAGGAACCGTATCAGCGTATCCACCCATATTTATGTTGTAGGTAAATGTGAAAGTGTGTGTGTGTCTGTTTATTTGTGCGTCTTTTACGGACAAACGGAGCGACGGATTGACGTGAATTTTAAAGTGAACATAGTTGGAGAGATGGAGAGTGACATAAGGTTACTTTTTTCTCTTTCTAACCTCTACCACTTCCCTAAATTGAGGGTTTGGAAGTTTCTGGATCATTTCATAATGTTCTAGGTAATTAGTACTTAACTACTTTAATGTGGGACTTTAAGTGTGGGAGAGCCATGCTTTGGCACGAATGGGCCGGTTCGACCGATCCCAATTCCCAAAAGGGCGATAACGCACTTGTAACGTCTCGGTTTTTCAGGTGTCCAAGACCGGGGCCGATTGCTTACCATCAGGTGATCCGCCTGCTCGTTTACCGGCTTATGCCATAGAAAAAAAAATTAACTTAAAAGTCGTGCATCATTTTTTTTTATGTAAACAGCCCGAGCGAAACCGCGGCTAAAAGCCAGTTTCTTGTATGTACATACTTAAGTAATTTGCTGATTACACTTGATTGGGTTTCAATATTGTTGAGATCGGAGATCCAAAACTGCCGGTTTTGCATAATTCCCCGTAAACCGTTTAAAGTTATTTGATATAATTAATTAGTTCTTAATGTTCGGGGTTATAACAAGGATGTAAAGTTTTCTGAATGGCCTCCAAGGTTACTATACTACTACTATATTAATAAGGAAAATGTTTAAATTTATTGTTTTTATTTATTTATTTATTTATATATGCTTTATTGTACACATTTATGTAGTTTAAAACAAACAATTTAAAAAAAAATTCTTTAAACCCAATTCAAGTAAATATGCGTACAATGGGCGGTCTTATCACACAATGGTGATTTCTTCCAGACAACCTTTGGATGGAAATATTTGTAAGAAACCAGATAAGGGGTAGTTACGTGTACAATAAAATAAAAAAAAAGACAAAATAAAAAAGCCTACAATACAACCTACAATAGATATAATATACTAGCAACATATAAAAAGAAATACATAAATAATATACAAAAATACAATAAGCTATGTGTGTGTGT